GGCCAGCTCTGCTTAGGCTCTAGGCTCCCAGGGTACTGCTGGAGAACACTCGGGGGGTGGGCTGATGTCACAGGAAAAACCCCAGTGTCACACCCACATCTGCTCTGTGACAGCTTGCCCACATCCACAGGGAGGGGGCGGGGTCCCTACACGCAGGAATCTCACAACCAGCACGAAGCAACTGTTCTTCTAAACGTCCCCAGGACTGAAGCCCCCCATGGCCATGGAAGAGTTCAGGCACAATAAGCACCCCAACTCCACCTTTTATTTTCTTCTTAAACTGTCTCTGGGGGATCACCCAGGCTTGCTGCTTGGGGTGCTCCTCGTCCTCTCGGCACCTCTGCCTGGCTGTGCTCACTGCAGTTACATTGTGCCTGTGTATTCCCTGTGTATTACTTTACTCTCCGTGGTTCTAGAGTGGTTCCTAGGGGAGCACTCGCTGGAGAGGGTCAGACCTGCCATTCGAGCTGGATTTGTGGGGGTGCTGGACAACTAACCCCAGCCATCCCCCTCCCACCCACATGTACACACACACACACACACACACACACACACACACACACACTTCTTCCCCTTTACTTACTCCACAAGGGTTTTACCACTGTCTCTGCACCAGCCAGGGAAACTAAAGGTGAACAGAGGGCGGAGGCATCAGAGGGCTGGGTTTCCCCACTCAAGTAAGGTGGACACACACACTGTCCAGGTTCTCACAAGGTCAGGGGTCGCAGGACAGTGGTAGGGAGCAGTGATTGCTCCTGGTCCCTGCCCCATTTTGGGGGCAGGAGGGGAAGGGCTTATCCTCCTCCCAGCCTTTTCATCGAGGATGGCTTAATCAGGAGTCAGCTATTTAACCCACAGACTCACGGGGTTGTTTGTGGAGGCCAGTGCTCCAGCCCTGTCTGCATGCTCTCTTTGGGTTAGGAATTGTAGGTTTCACAGGGTTCATGCCCCCCTGTGACCCCATTCTTCCGTGCACGAAACATAATGCTGCAGGAACAGAAAGGACCTGGGAGGTGGTGAGTGTGATACAGAAGGAAACCTGGGAACATTACACAAGATAGTTGAAACAGCCCCAGGTGTTAACTTTATTCTATAAGGCCAACTAGAGACAGAGGTCAGCCCCGGAATGGTGAAGGGGCTAGAGCAGCTCTAGCGCTATCCTGGAAAAGCCATCTTCCCAGCACTCTTTCACATCCTTTGGGCGGTTTTCAAAGTCTTTCTTCTTTTTTTCTTTAATAATGTTCCATCCACCTCCCACTTCCTGCGGTCCCGTCCAGCCCGCCAAGCTTCGGGGGCCAACGGGGCCACAGCGACACCTGCTGGCAACTTTCCGCAATGCGGCTCCAGAGCGTCCCAGAGGCCCGCCAGGAAGGACAAAATGTTTCTACAGGGAAAGCCGTAAAGTGTTACTAGTGAAACTCCATCAGCAACAGGACTGTAAACCTCAGTGCAAAGATTTTTTTTAAAGCCCCTGTCACAGAAGCAGACTGGGCGTGGGAGGTAAATGGGGTGGGAAGGCATTGGTAGAGGGAAGTTGGACACTGGTGAAAGTATCGGTGTTGAAACATTATATGCCTGAAACCCAGTCAAGGGTAACTTTGTAATTCATGGTGAAAAACCTTACATATAATACAAACTATCTATGAGTCACCAGGAATTAGTAAATGCACATCAAACCGTGGGTACTAACTAGTTTTGAAATGCTAGCACATAGTGTTATGGGAACTTCCTCATACCAAGTGGATTCAGAAGTCTTTTCGCAGAGAGAACAAGTAAGAAGATAGTACAGAGGGTAGGGTTCTTGCCTTGCACGCTGGCCGACCTGGGTTCAATCTCCAGCCCCCCATATGGTGGTTCCCTAGCAACGTAGGAGTGACCCCTGAATGCAGAGATAGGAGTAACCTCTGAGCACCACTGGGTGTGGCTCGAAAGCAAAAATAATAAGTATTATAAAAAGTATTGAGAATCTATGATTCAGAAATACGATCATTAGAAGTTGCATTAAGAAAGCATAAATTCTGCACTGGAGCAATAGTACACCAGATAGGGTGTTTGCCTTGCATGCGGTCAACCTGAGTTCGATTCCTGGCACTCCATATTGTCCCTCGAGCCATCCAGGAGTAATTCCTGTACTCATAGTCAGGAGTTGGCCCAAAAACAAACAAAAAGAAATACACAAATTCAAAAGGCTTTTGCTGCAGGGTTGCTGTGATAAAGAAGGAAACCTGGGGGGGGGGGAATTACACAAGATAGTTAAAGTACCCATCACACCTATTTGAATGCAAAGAAACTAGGAAAAGCAATCTGGAAGAATATTATACATCATAGGGAAATGGTCATGGTGAATACATAGAATGAAATCACTCTCTAAAGGTGCTTTCATTTTATCACAAGCACTGTCAAACAAACACTGTCCTCCCGTTGTTCAACAGTTTGCTCAAGTGGGCGCAGTAACGTCTCCATTTTGAGACTTGTTGTTACTGTGTTGGCATACTGAATACATCACGGGTAGCTTGCCAGGCTTTGCCGTGCGGACGAGATACTCTCGGTAGCTTGCTAGGCTTTCTGAGAGGGGCGAAGGAATCGAACCCGGCTCGGCCGGGCTGGCTGCGCACAAGGCAAACACCCAACCACTATGCTATCGCTCCAGCCCTTCAGGGTGTCAGAATGGCCGAGCGATCTAAGGCACCAGACTCATTTTATCACATTAAATATAATACAGTAATAGGAGAGATACATCAATGCAAGATACATTTGTCCATGTTCATAGAATTTACACCCCCAGGGATTTGTAAACCATAAGGCCCACTAGAAACAGTGGGCAATTAGGCATAACGGTGACTGGATACAGCAATTCCTTGTGACAAGCGCTTCACTTTGAAAGGGATGTTGCCAGTAGGGGGCGCTCTGCCTGTGGGAGGCCAGAGGAGGTGGGAAATACCTGCCTTCTACTCAGGTTTGCTGTGAATCTTAATCTGCTCTAGGAGTAAAAATCTATGGGAATGGCTACAAGGCAGAGCATAAAACCACAACTCTCACATCGATGACTACTGCTGCTTCCCCTTGGGAGGGGGGCAGCCTTCCTGCCAGGCTCCCCACAACACCTAAGGTGTCTCCTACAGGCCGTACAGAGAGCTCACAGGGGGGTCTTGAGGGCTGCTGTGATGGGACCCTGGGGCTATCGCTGTTGCAGTCATCTTGTCCCCTGTCCCCATGAGAGGAGAAAGAAGGCAAAGCAGAAGTGAGAAAGTGAAAGTACAAGACACAAGGGCTGCGTCTTTACTTCCAAGTTAATGTGTTTCAGGACCTGCAGAAAATAAATTCCTCCCTGGTCAGATTAACCTGAATATCTGTGCCTGGGAACCAGCAATCATTGTCCTCTCACAGGCTTGCTTAAATCTTTCCTCCTCCAAGAAGCCTTCCCCGACCTTCTGGCTGAGGAAGTCATTTGTTCCCGTTTCCATTTCCCGTTCTAACATGCCCCCCCCCCACAACTGTCCTGTTCACTGTGGGGGTGTCCCCCACTCTTCTAGGCCTGCCACCCGCAGGACTGCTTGCTGAGACAAGAACTTGCAGAGACAGGGCGCTCTGGCTGGTGGGAAAGAAGATGCAGTCCAGAGCCCAGGCTGGCGGGGGCCCTGCTGGGATCTTTGGGGGATGGGAATGCTCAGTCTTTGCAGGGGGCACGCAGTGGGTCCAGAGAGTGATGGAACCACAGCAATCCCTCAATTTGGGAGACTTCCTGATATCAGTATGTGAAGCCAGGAGCTGCAGCCTGGGTACCACCTCCTAAAAGTGGGGTGTTAAAGGCCCGGGATGATCACTTGATGCCCAGGGCTGGCAGGCAGACAGGACTGCTGCTCTCTTCACTGTGTCCACACAGGAATCAGTGGCATCCAGTTCAGTTTCAGAGAGCTGGGGCCACACCCAGCAGTGCTTGCAGCGCCTCCTGGCACAGTGTCTGGGGTTGCTCCCAGTGGTGCTCAGGAGATTGATGAGAGCAGTGCCTGGGATCAAACCCAGAGCTTCTTGATACAAAGCATGTGCTCCAGTCCTTGACACTGCTGCCTGGAGTCCTTGGAAGGATGGGCACAGTCGGGCTCTCCTTTACTGTGGTCTTGGGGCTAGTTGATCTGTGGCCCTTGCATGCCCCATCCATAGTCCAGGACTCAAGTCCAAGTGGTTCCTGTCCAGGTGCCCCATTCCCCTGCTCTTCAGGAGAGGCCCGGACCCTGCGCGAAGCCACGGTGCCAGGACAGAGCCTGGTGGGAGCCTGCAGTGAGTGTCGCTGGGCCTTCTGGACTGCCCATTACTACCAAGACAGCTGTTCCTAGCCACATCCCCCCGCAGGCCAGTGAGCACCTACACTGTGGTTCCCATGGGATGGTCCCATTCAACCCCCAGCCCCAGTCTTCAGGGACTTCCGGCCACCAATGTATTGGGGCCAGAACCCACTTGTGGCAGCAGCTTCGGACTCTGCTGAACCGGGTTCCATTGCCCCTTCACTCGGAGACCCTGGTATCCGTTCCCACCCAGTTGGGATGCATCAGGGAGGTTGCAAGAACACTGCCCATCCCATGGAGTGGGCTAAGGGGGAGGGCACTGAGCCTTCTCCCCTTCCCCAGTGGGGCCCCAGGGGGGCTCTTCACAGTTTAAGTCCAGAGTCACCCTCCCACTGTGACCAGGGCACCCAAGCCCCAGAGAGCACTGGGAACAACCCATATGACTAATGCCCCATAGGACAGGCTGGGGTTTACTCTGAAAATGACACCCACCCGACCCCAGGGGCCAGTGGGGAGCAGGCTGGCCTGAGTCGGGGTGGCTAGGTGCTGAGAACAGAGAGCTGGACTGTGCGCATGGACGGAAGCCAACAGCAGAGACCGCGGAGAACGTCGGGGTGAGCCTTGCCTCGGGGCTGCCATGAAGCTCCCCCCACATCCCGATCTTCCCATGCCCCTATGCCAGGAAGATGGAGTTCTGGGGTGGGGGCGGGGGGTGGAGGACAGGCAGCACCACCGCCTAGTACAGGTACTCGCGGACGATGAGCTCCTTGAGGGAGAAGACCCGCGAGGTGGGCCTCCGGAGCTGGCTCTCGTCCAGCCTGGCCTTGAGGGATGCGAAGTCCTTGCCCAGCGCGTAGGCCAGGCTGACCATGGCATCGAGCAGCGGCACGTAGTAGCGGTGGCCCTCGCGGGCGTGCAGGCAGTGCAGGGCGCGCTCGCCCGCCGCGAAGGCCTCGAGGGGCCGCTCCAGGTCGCGGTGGCACAGCAGCAGGGCGCAGAGCGCGGGCACGCGCAGCGCCGGGCAGTGCGGGGTGAGCTTCTCCTGCAGCGGCAGCACGCGGACCAGCACGTCCAGCGCGCGCGGGTACTGGCCGGCCCGCAGGCAGCCGAAGGCCTCGCGCAGCTCGGGCCGCGTGAGGAAGTCGATGAACTCGCGCGAGCGGCGCACGCAGCGGATGGCGTAGAGCGCGCGCAGGTACTCCTTGAACGCCAGCTTGCGCTCGCTCACCATCTCCTCCCTGAAGTTGCCCAGCAGGTGCTTCTTGGGGAAGGCCACGTCCTCGATCTCCTCCCGGAAGGCCTTTAGCAGGCTTTTCTGCAGCCGCTCGAAGTCGGAGTAGCGCCGATCTAGCACGGCTTTGTGGCTGTCAAAACTCCCCGTCTGGATGATGACGATTTGGTACATCTGCAGAGCAGAGGGGGAGGGAAAGGAGGAAGAGAGGAAGAGAGGGAGAGACAGACAGACAGACAGAGAAACTTGAGTGACACCTCAACACAGGATTTGATCGGACACAGAGAGCCCAGATGTTGAAAATAATGACCAGAATTCGAAGCATTCCCTGAAAAACAGATTCTGCTTCTCTGTGATTCTTCTTTAAATTGCCTTTGGCCACTGCTGAGCTGTGAAGGCAGATTGTGACAATCAGAGAATGAGGAGCACAGCCTGAGAGTAAGGAGCACAGTCTGGGAATAAGGTTCACAGCCTGGGAATAAGAAGCCCGGCCTGGGAATAAGGAGCCTGGTCTGGGAACAAGGAGCACGGCCTGGGAGTAAGGAGCATGGCCTGGGAATAAGAAGCACGGCCTGAGAGTAAGGAGCATGGCTTGAGAACAAGGAAGATAGCCTGGGAATAAGGAGCACAGCCTGGGAATAAGGAGCACAGCCTAAGAGTAAGGAGCATCACCATTTGAGGGTATCTAGGAGAAAGGGCATGGTGTGCCAGATAGACCCTGCGTCCTCTTTGGCCTCCCATCCTTAAAGCCCACCCTCTGGTTCCCCTAGTGGGAAGCTAATTTAGATTACTTTTTTTTCTCAAGTGTGTTTTTTAGGGGCATTCTGGCAGTAAGGCTGTAAAGCAAGAAAAGGATTCATTTTCAGTTCTCTTTCAAGAGACTCCAAGTTAGAGACACATATGGCCTGGGTATCATTTCGACCCCACCCCCGTGTGGCTGCATGGTCTTATTTTCAGTTGTGGTTTTTGAGCCACACCCGGTGGTGCTCAGGGTTTACTACTCCTGGCCCTGTGCTCGGAGCTCACTTCTAGCGTTGTTCCGGGAATGGAAACTGGATCAGCCTTCTTACCCTCTTCGCTATTACTCTGGCCCAAGCTGTGTGGGCTGCCATGGGTAAACTGACCTCTCTGAGCTGCAATTTTCTCATGAGGATAGTGAGAATGCCCAGCACTGAACACACAGCATGCGGCCCAGTGGTCACTTGGATTCCAGGCCCAGCAATGGGGTGAGAGGTGCCCAGTGCTGTCCTACGAACAGCTGCTCTCCAGGGCTCCTCTCCTCAGGAGAAAGCTCCTGAATCCCAGCACAGAGCCTTCCCCAGCCACCGTGCAGCCAACTAGAATTTAGCAACAGCATTCAGAGCCTTGTCTTTGCTCTGATTTATGCCAGCTGATGCTGGCTTTCCATTTAGGGTGTTTTCCTTTCAAAGCAATGTATGTATTCAGTGTTGGGATGTGTTCTTGTTTTTTTTTTTTTAATGCTGGGAGTTGAACCCAGAGTTTTATGCACTCAGGGCATGGGATCTTCAATGGAGTCATATGCCTGACCCCAAATGTTTCTAGTGTTTTTTTAGTTTTTTAATTAAAAATTTTTTTTCTTAATTTTTGGGTCACCCCGGCGATGCTCAGGGGTTACTTCTGGCTCTGCACTCAGGAATTACCTCTGGCAGTGCTCAGGGGACCATATGGGATGCTGGGAATCGAACCCGGGTTGGCTGCGTACAAGGCAAACGCCCTACCCCCTGTACTAAAGCTCCAGCCCCTCTAGTGTTGTTTTAAAAGTGATTCAGGGGCTGGAGAGCTAGTACAGAGGGTAGGGTGCTTGCCTTGCTGAAGCCAGCCCTGCACTCCCCTGCTCTCCACTTGAGCCCCGCCAGGAATGGTCCCTGAGCACAGAGTCATGAGTAAATCCTGAGCAGGTAGGGTCCCCAAGCCCGAATCAAACAATAAAACATAAAAGCCACTGAAAGAAAAAAAGGAACTGGGTAGAGAATAACCTAAAGATAAAATATTACAGAAACAGGTGGAGCAGAAATGGTGAGAGGCTTGGCTGGCTAGCCTGACTGAATGGGATGGACACTGGGTGTTCAGCGGGGCTCCCTAGGAGCGGGCAGGAGAGACCGCACAGGCTTACCACGAACTTGGAGACTTTCCTCTCCTCGATGCGGGCTGAAGCGATCTCAAAGAGCAGCTTGACATGTCTGTGGCCGCCCTTCTCCCTCTGCCAGTATTCCTGCAGCTCCCGTGTGGTCATACTGGAGTGGGAGCCGGGGCTGCCGGGGGCGCCTGCAAGGACAGCACCTTCAGACCAGGGCTCGCTCTTTGGGGGGTCAAGGGTTTGGGGAGTTGGTTGGGTCTACCTGGGATGGGGCATCCGAATCCAGTCTGGCCCAGCCTGGCTGAATCACACCCCCACAGACAGCCTGGCACAGCCCATGGCCTGCCCATGGTCTTGGTGGGTTCGGAAGCAGGTCACTCCTAACCTGCAGAGTTGACCCTAGCACAACTCCCGGCAATACGTGCTTGTCTCTAGTTCCCTGCAGCAGTGGTGTGTGTGTGTGTGTGTGTGTGTGTGTGTGTGTGTGTGTGTTGGGGGGAGGCGGGGTGCTCCCGGGCACCCTTCTGAGTTCCATCCATTCATGCCTGGATTAGGGCACCATGAGGGCACCAGCTCCTAGGCTGAGTCTGGTGGCCCCTCCTAACTTGCTTGTCTCATTTCCCTGTTCTCTACCTTTCCTTTCTCTCCTTTCTTTTCCCAGCAGTGCTCAAGGCTCCCTCCTGGCTCAGGGATCACTCCTGATGGTACTTGGGGAACCGTATAGGGTGCTGGGGAGCAAACTAGGGTGAGTCACATAGCAGGCAAACACCTTACCCCTGTCTGTGCCCCTGTACTATCTCGTCCACCCCTTCTTTTATTGCGGGACTCACCTGGCATGGCTCAGGGGCTCCCCTTCATTATATATTTATGGGTTGTTTGCGATGGTACTCGGGGGCCGTAGGGTGCTGGGGATCAAAACCCAGGCCTTCTGTCTGCACAGCATGTGCTCAGCCCTTAGGTCCCTCTCCCCAGCCCCTCCATGCTTATTTTTTGCACAGGCTTTATCTTCTGCCCTAAATGCTGGCCTCTTTTTCTCCTTTCTCAGATCTCACAGTGTTTTGTGAGCCCTGGGCCCCAGGAGCCCTTTCCCAGTGAGTTCCTCTGCCCACACATCACCTTAATTGTCCCCACGCCACTGGAGTGAGAGCTTCCCTCTTTGTCTCTGTAACTTTGGTCACATCCCATAGATTTTTTCAAAGGTCCATTTCCCACCCAACTTGAGGCCCTGTTTCATTGTTTGCTTCCCCCTGGGTCTCCCCTTATAGGGCAAGGAGGGATGGAAGGATCTTGAGTCATTACCCAAGGAATTGAGCTGAGCCTTGCTCCAGGCGAGGGCTGTGGCTGAGGGCCAGGACCCAATTGTTCCAGAAGAACCCACTGACTTCCTCCCAGAAGTACTTTTCCTTTACCTAGAGATTTTTTTCCCAGCCATAGCAGCTCATCAACCACTGAGGCATGGGACAGGTGGACCGCAACCAGCTTCATGGATGGGAGAAGCACCCTGAGATATAGCCCTTATAGCCCCCCCAAAGTCTCTGCAGAGGCTGAACCCCATTGTCTGAACAGTCATCTGCCCATCCATGCCCCAGATTTCCTAGAAGGGCTTCCTGCCCCTCCTTTCCTTGATTTCCCAGCTGATACTTTCCTTTGCCTCTGGATTATCACCCAGATCTATGACTTAACACCAAAACCTTGTTTTGGGTGTCCACTGGGCATCATCTGAATTAAGAGAGCCCCCACTCCCACTGCTGCAGCCATGGAACAGTCCACACTGTGTGTCAGACGTCTTTAGACCTCTCCCTGCTGTCCACCCCTCGGCGCCCAGCCCACCTAAGTCCTCAGGCTCTGGAAGGTCGTCATCTGATCCAGCGGCTGAGATTTCCTGCCTGGTGCCTGCCATGTGCTGGCCTCGGGGTCCCCTCCAGTCAGGACTTCCGGGGTGTTCGTAACTTGCCATCCTCCAAGGCTGCAAGGGGATGAGAGAAAACAGTGATTGTCCTATCAGTTTGGGGTGCCTGGTGGATCCACGGATGCCTGGAATTTGTGCCACAGTTCCCACTGTGGAGGTGTCTATTGCCCCCCCTTTCCTGGACGCCCAGCTGAGAGCAGCTGTACCCAGCTCCGCCCCATTGCTGGACTGTTCCCCCCAAGACTCAGCACATCTTTCTCTTCTGGTGCCAGTTAGTTCTCATTTTTATTCAGTTGTACTGAATTTTAAGCAAGGTCCCTTGAAGCAAATGGAATGGCTTTAGCTATTCTTTATTTGGGGAAGAGTAGGGAGAGTTTGGGGCCACAGCAGTGCTCAGGGTTTACTCCTGGCTCTGCTCTCAGGAATTACTCCTGGAGGACTTGGGGGACAGTATGAGGTGTGGGGGGTTGAACCTAGGTTGGCAAGAGCCCTACCCTCTTATTGCTCTGGCCCCTTAGATGTTACTTGGGCAAAAGGAGCTGGCCCTTTTAGGAAGACAATATGGACATTCCTTCAAAAACTAGAAATTGAGCTTCCACATGATTCCACAATACCACTTCTGGGAATATATCTCTAGGGTGCAAAAAGGCACAGTAGAAATGACATCTGCATCTGTATGTTCATTGCAGAACTTTACAGTAGCCAGAATCTGGAAACAACCCAAGTGCCCCAAAACAGACGACTGGTTAAAAAAAAAAAAACACTTTGGTATATCTACACAATGGAATACTATGCAGCTGTTAGGAAAGATGAAGTTATGAAATTTGCTTATCAGTGGATGGTCTTGGAGAGTATTATGCTAATTTAAATGAGTCAGAAAGAGAGGGACAGACATAGAATGACTGCACTCAATTGTGGAATATTAAATAACATAATATGAGACTAACACCCATGAACAGTAGAGACAAGGGCCAGGAAGATTGCCCCCTAGTTGGAAGCCTGTCTCATGAGCTGGAGGAGAAGGCAGCTGGGATAGAGAAGGGATCACTAAATCAATGATGATGGTTGGAGGGATCGTTCGGGATGGGAGATGTGTGCTGACAGTAGATAAAGGACCAAACGTGATGGCCTCTCAGCATCTATATTGCAAACCATAATGCCCAAAAGTAGAGAGAGAGTATAGGGAAAATTGTCTGCCATGGATGCAGGGGGAATGTTGGGAACTGGAATATACTGAGGACATTGGTGGTGGAGAATATCTGTTGGTGGAGGGGTGGGTGTTCAATCAGTGCATGACTAAAATTCAAACATGAAAGTTTTATAACTGTACCTCATAGTGATTCAATTTAAAAAAAAAGGAGCTGGCTTGTCCCAAGAATGTCCCAGTCTTCGATCACTGGTGACACATGTAAGTGAGATCTCAGCATGCACAGAGGGCCAGCTGTCCCCTCTCCCCAACCCCCGAGCAAACATTTGCTGATGACAGATACCTGCTTTATCCATATCAGCTGCTTCATAGCCACCACAGCAGAGATAACTCACAGAATAGGTGAGGAAACAGTTTAGCTCAAGGTACGTGCTGAGCTGTACCAAGGTGCTACCAGGCTGTGTGCTCTATGCTCAGTACCCCTCCTCTCCCCCGCATCTGACTAGGACTTAGAATTGCCTGCAGCAAGAGCTGGGGAGTGGCAGTAGGGCCCGGCATGGCCAGGGCCCAGGGGGAGGCCAGCACTCAGTTTCTGCACTGTCTGTGGTCCAGAGAAGATAAGGAGATGATTCAGTGCCTGGCACGTCACACAACTTCTGCATGACCCTCTCTCCTGGGACTAGAGAGTGCAGGTGGAGAGGCACTAGCTGGTCGGTCCAATGCAACCCCACTTAGAATCTACCACATTTCATATGATCCTCTGGGCACACCGGGGCTCAGTCACTTGTGGGCACAGAGCCAGGAATATAGTCCCCCAAGCACTGCCGGATGTGGCCTGGAAACAAACAAACGAAGGGGCATACTAGAGCCCACCCCAGAGGCTGTGCAGAATTGGGTCAGGCTCGGGGTCTGCACTCGGTACCAATCCGTAGTTGGCATCTGGCCCGTGTGGGGCCTTTGAGTATTGTTGCAGGAATAATTGGCTTTACAGTACATTGTTGAAACAGAATCTTAAAAGTCCATGACCGATTAGAAAAGAGCATAGCTGGGCACATTGAAACCTGAGCCTGGGGGCTGGAGAGACAGCTCAGTGAGTAGGGCGCTTCACTTGCACGTGGCTGACCCAGGTTCCATCCCCCTGGTCCCTCGAGTTCCACCAAGAGTGATCCCAGAGTGCAGAGCCAGGAGTGTTGCCTGAGTATTGCCAGGTGTGTCCCCCAGACAAAGAAACAAAAGAACAACAACAACAACAAAACACGCCTGAGCCTGGATGGATCGAGTAGCATCTGGACGTATCTGGTAACCGCTGACACACAGAACTTCTAATGCTGTGGGGAGAGGTTGCTAGCCTCCTGAACAGGAGCTGTGGGAGGAGCGGGTGGGCTCGGGGCTGAGTTCTACCCGGACTCTGGCCCGGAAGCTGAAGTCCATCCCTTGCTGCTGTGCCCCAGCCCCTACTCTGTCACCTGCTATGCCAGAGCCCAGCCCGCTCTGAGCTCCGGACTCCTGGAGTCAGCTCAACGGGTATGGGAAGTTGGAATCCTCCCCTGGGCATTCTCCGGGTGGCCCAGGCAGGGGTCCAGCAGGGCCCACAGGGACCCTCTCCTCCATCCAGTGTCACCTTATCCTGGGGCTCAGAACCAGGGCTTGCCTGACCGGGAGCCACACACACTTGAGCTTCCAGGGCCACAGTCCTCTCAGTCTCCTTCCCCGAAGGACTCAGCCTTCATCCTGGCTGGCTTAGAGTCCATCCTAGCTATCCCTGGCCTCAGTTTCCCATCTGTCCTGCTGATGGCAGAAGTGTATGTACCAAGGGTGGGCTCTCTGTGGTCCAGGAGGGAGCCCCAGATGAGCGAGTGTGTGGCCCAGAGGCTAGAGGCACAGTTGTGTCTCCATAGGTGGATTGGGGGTGGCAAGGGGCACTGACCTCTACCCGGGTCTCCAGCATGCCAGGCAGCTGGTGCCAGGTCAGAGGCCGGAAAGCCCAAGAGCCCCCAGGATGGAGGGCGCCAACCAGACACCCCAGATGGAAGGCAAGAGCTGAGTGTGAACGAAGCTGAGCCCCTAGGATGGAGGGTACCAGCCAGACACCCCAAATAGGAGAGGAGAACTGATGTGAATGGGACTAAGGACAAACAGTGACTCCTGAAACCCACCTCCCTCCCAACCCCCGTGTCCTCAGGGGTTTGGCTTGGTGACCCTGGCTAAGGAGCAAGGACGGAGAAGGGGAGGCGGCTTCTTCTTCTTCCCCGGGCCCCAGTTTCCTCTCTGTGAAGTGGGGGAGTGCAACCCTGTCCCTGGGGACGCTCCCACTGCCTCTGGGGGTGCTTCCTGCCCCTTGCAGCAGCCAGGAGTCTAGGTTTGCAACAAAATTCTGCAACTGTATGCACAGGGGTCCCTGGGGACAGAGTAACTTCTTAACCCCCTGCCCTCCCTCCAGCGCTCTCTGTGCGCACTCATCACCCCTCCCCTCCCTTTCAGGCCCCCTGATGTGCTCACAGGGTGCCAGCAAGGCCCCAGGTTCTCTCAGAGAGGTTGTATACAACATCTGTAGGGGGTGGAGAGGCTCCCCTATGCCAAGGCTCAGTCCCCTGATACTTGGAACTCGCCCCATAGAACACATTCTGGTTCCCAACATCAGCGAGGCCAACCTAGTCATTCCCCAGCCCCCTCCCCCGGGGGTTCCCAGCACCTGCCTTTGTGAAACACACGCATGGTTACTGATTCCCTAAGAAGGAGGGGTGGGAACACCTGGCCCTTCCCAAGGGAGAGAGGCAGGGAGAGGTGGGGAGCTGATACCCATTCTGCTAAGGAGACACTCAAGACCCCCACCCCCCAGTGTCTACACCCCCCTTCCCCCTCTGCCTGCTCTGTCCCGGCCCCAGCAGGTACCGAGGGAATGATGGGTTATAGGGAAGGAGCCCCGGCCAGCTGCACCAACCAACTGAACTTGGGGTCTGACACTGACCTGAGGCCTCTGGCTGGCGTGTCCGGGGTCCCAGGAAGTGTCACATATCCCCCTCCTGCTCTCCGTGCCCTGCCCTGCGCGGCTGCGAGCAGTTGAGTGGCAGTTGAGTAGCTAAAGGTTCCTGTTTGAAAACAGGAAGTAAGCTGGGAGGCCTGCTGGTGGGTGCCCCGCCCAGAAGCGGCGCTGGGAGCCCTACTGACACCCAGCCTCCCAGCCCAGATGGAGTTGGCCTGGGGGCAGGGGCCTTCTGGCCCCCAGAGCTCTGGATGGTATCTGCATCTGGACAGTCGCTCCCAACTTTTCTTAACGTTCACACAAAGATTAAGGAGTCTCACACAAAGGGTCTGGTGTGATGGCAGCTGCCAGGCCTTTCTAACAGAGGGGAAAACTGAGGCTTGGAGCACAGAGTTGGGGGCTAATGGAAGTGTGAGACATCCTCCTTCCTCTGAGTCCCTCCTCGGGGCAGCTCTGTGCCCGCACCCTGGGAAGGGAACGGCCGGGTCATGAACCTGTGTGCTTTGGGGACAGAGGCTGGGCTATGAAACCTCTCTACCACACACAAAACCTCTTTCCCAGCAGGGCCTGCCCTCGTCTCTCCAGCTCTCCTAGAGCTTGTCTCAGTTGAGACCGTGACGAGGATCTGGACTTGCTCCCTGCAGATTCCGTGCCTGAGAATAGATGCCCCAGGATGAGAATCCTTCTCTTCAGTGTTGAATTTTATACAAATTGAGCCACACCACGATAGCTCAATTGGTAAAACACCTACTCTGCAGGCATGAGGCCCTGAGTTTGATCCCTGGTACTATCTCACAGGCTGAGTGGGACGTTTGGGATCCCTGACGCCACCAGAGGCAATGATTTCCAGCCATGCCGAGCGTGTGAGCACCACGACTAATGCAGATGTGTGGCCCCATCATGTAGCAATGATAACAGCAACAAGGGGAAGGGAAGGGGGAAAATCCAAAATAAATGGGGTCCCACCTGCCATTTGTGGGTCTTCGGTATTTCTTCGTGCCTTCCACAGTTATGAGAGTTCATTTTGAGTGTGGAGCTGGAGTCTCATTGTTTTGTTTTGTTTGGGGGCCACATCCAGCTGTGTGCCCAGGGCTTACTCCTGGCCCTGTGCTCAGGCATCACTCTCAGTGGTGCTGAGGGGAGCAGATGTGGTGCCAGGGATCAAAATGGGGTTGGCCATGGATAAGGAAAGTGCCTTACTTGCTGTACTATGTCTTGGTCCCTCATGTAGCTGGAGTATTTAAAGATGTTTAATGGTTGCGTTGCTATCATAGTTGTTGAATCCACCATTAGCATGCTTTTGTTTGGTCTGCTGGTGTACCTTGGGGTGGTTTTTGGCTTGGGTCATCCAAATCAGAATGGCAGGGATCAACCCGCCTCCTGGCCCAGATGTGTTCATTTATCTGAGCTGCTGTGACGTGAGGGATCTTAGACTGACCATGGCTCCAACTCTATTGGATTATGCCAAGTGCATTTCCAGAGAGGCCTGCACCTGCATTCCCACCTGGAGCGCACCTCACCCTGCACGGGATCTGGCTGCGTTGTTTAGTGTGGCCAGTCTAGGTGTACAGTGGCTCTGTGTGGCTGAATTCCAACTCCCTAGACAGTGACGGCCCTGCGGCTCTGCTCACATCCACAGTGGTGATAAGTCTGCTCAAGCCCATTGCTTGCTTCTCTGCTGGGTTGTTCTCGAGGGTCTCATTGGACACAGGTGCCTCTCAAATATCCACCTTAGGGTGTGGAAGTTGAGGACTCTTCCACAGTTTCTCTTTAACTGCTGGTCTCCTGTCTCAGGACCCGGCACTGCCCTATTAGGGTTCTTCACTGTTGCTGCTGCAGCCTTATCCTAGGCCATGATGGGGCTGATGGTGAGCTCAGCCATGTGAGCAGTGAGAACTGTCCTGGCCGTTCACCTTCTGAAGACTGTCTGAGCTGGACTTTCCCAGGTGGGAGCCACCACACCATACACTGAGGCGGGTTTTGTGTGGAGTGTGGACGTGAGGCTGGAGAGCTCTGCTCTGTGTGTGTGTGTGTGTGTGTGTGTTTGGGGCCACACTCCTCACTCTGCACTGAGGAATTACACACGGTGGGGGTTGGGCGACCATAGGGGGGTGCCAGGGATCGAACCAGGGTAGGCCGTGTGCACGTATTAGTGAGTGAGTGTGTGTGTCTGTGTGTTGTATGTTTGTGAGTGTGCGTCTGTATGTTTTGTGTATTTGTGTATAAGTATTTGTGCACGAGTTTGTGCCGGTATGTGAATGTGTTTGTGTGTGTGTGCATATATGAATGTGTGTCTCTTTTGGGGTGTGTTTGTGTGTGCATGAGTGTGCACATGTGTATGAGTGTCTGTATTTTTGCATGAGTGTGTGAACATGAGTGTCTGTGTATGAGTGTGTGCATGAATGTGCATGTATTTTGTGTATGCATGAATGTGCGTGTGCATGTATAGGAGTGTCTATGTGTTTTGTCTGTGCGTGAGTGTGCATGCATGTATATATGTGTCTGTGTTCTTTCTCAGTGCACCATACCATGCACTGAGAAGGGTTTTGTGTGGAGTGTGGAGGTGAGGCCAGAGACCTCCGCTGTGTGTGTGTGTGTGTGTGTGTGTTTGGGGCCACACTCCTGACTGCACTTAGGAGTTACTCCTAGTGGGGCTCGGGTGACCATACGGGGTGCCAGGGATCGAACCAGGGAAGGCCCTGTGCACGGCAGGCACTCTACCTGCTGTGCTGTCGCTCTGGCCCCAGGAGGCCTTTGTTTCTGTTTGCCCATGTGGTCATTTGCATGAGCCACATAGTTTGGAAAAGAGAATGGAAATGGTTTCCAGCCTGTTATAGCTGCAGGTGGAGGGGTTCCCACTTCTTTTTTCTTTTCTTTTCTTTTCTTTTTTTTCTTCAGGAAAATAAGAATAAGAAAACATTTTATAGCACAGTGGGTAGGGCCTTTGCCTGCACGTGGCTGACATGGCCAACCCAAGTTCAATTCCTCCACCCTCTCGGAGAGCCCAAGCTACTGAGAGTATCTCGCCTGCAACGCAAAGCCTGGCAAGCTCCCCGTGACATATTCAATGTGCCAAAAACAGTAAAAACAAGTCTCACAATTTGTTGTGAGACGTTACTGGTGCCTGCTTGAGCAAATCGATGAACAATGGGAGGACAGTGCTACAGTGCTATTTTTAATTTTTTATTAGTGAACCCACCGTGGGGTACAGCTCAGTTACAGACTTATAAACTTTTGTGCTTGCATTCCAGTCATTCAGTGATCGAGTACCCATCCCTCTACCAGTGCCCATTCTCCACCATCAATGATCCCAGTATCCCTTCCACCACCCCCATCCCATCCCCACCCCATCCCTCCCTGCCTCTGAGGCAGGGCATTCCCTTTTTTCTCTCTTTCCTTTTGGGTGTTGTAATTTGCACTAGAGGCATTGAGTGGCCATAGTATTAGATCTACAGTCTACATTCTTACCCACGGGTGTGTCAATACAGGTGAGCAGGGGCTCTGTCTTACTCCCCTGCCCTGGCACTGCCCACACAGGGCAGGGTGGCATGGATGCAGGCTGGCTGCAGAGAGGCCGGAATGCCCCCTGAAATCCTGCACTTCCCCTTTCCTCTGCTACTCTGTCTGGACCCGGGAATTTCCTTAGGCCAGGGCAGACTCAGCTTCCCCCCCCCCTTTTTTTTTCCAATTAGGGGGCCACAACTGGCAGTGCTTAGGACTTACTCCTAGATTTGTGCTCAGGGATCACTCCTGGAAAAACTCTGGGGACCATATGGGATGCCGGGGATCGAACTCAGGTTGGCTGCATGCAAGGCAAACAAACAGCTTACCCACTCTCCAGCCCCCCAGCTCTCTTCGCTGTAGTCTGGGAACCTTTAACCCAGCACCCATGGGTGGGGTATGTCGTAGCCCCTAGTTCCTCTTCTGGAAGCTGACCTTTGGAAAACCCCCCCTCCCCACATACACACACACATGGGCTGGGCGGTAGGGCAGAGGTTGGGGGGAGGGGGCTGGCCTGTGGAGGAAGGGTGGGGCTCCACGGACCAGGAGCATCTTGGGGCTGGGTGGGGTGGACTTTCTCATGGCCCATCTCTGTGTGGGGGAGGGCAGGTGAGGCCTGTCAGGTGGAGGTGGGGGCACAGCGGACCCGGTGCCTGTGAGTGGGGGGGGGGGTCCCTTTCGGTTAACAAAAAAGGCTGGCCTGTCTCAGAGTCTGGGTGTCTCCTTTAGAATTCAAAATCAAGATACATCTCCTCCTCAGCTTTTTCGTGGCCTCCCCGTTCAGAGCTTGGCTTCTTGCGTCAGCCCTCTGACGTCTGCCTGCCGCCTTCCTGACCCCCGATTGCTCCATTCCCAGGAAAGCTTACCACACGGGCCGTCAGCTGCTTTCTGTTCCTCAGACACCGCAGCTTCCGGCCCTGTGACGACTCCAGCGGGCAGTCCTGCTCCACCATAGACCCTGGGGTAGCCAGGTGGCTTGGCATTCTCCCTTGCGCCTCTGCTGATGCAGCCTCTCATCTGGGCGGCTGATTCGCTGGCCTCAGACATCACAAACAGAGGGGGCTTTGTATCAGCCTTCGGTGCCCAACCCCCTGCCCTGGGCGCCTGCTACCCCCGGGGCCCTTCGGTCCTTGAGTGCATGACTGAGTGAGTGGGTGGGTGATGGTGGAGAAGCCGGGTGGGGGCTGTGGCTCAAAGCTCAGGCCTGACTCATTCTGTGACGGGAGCAGGCACCACCCTGCTCTGAACTTCAGTTTTCCTAATTGCAACATGAAGCGCAGGCTCCCCTTTGCACCAGAACATTCCATACTAGGCAAATAACTGAAGACTGAAATCCTAGCAGCAGCTCAGGAGCCCAACGGATTGGGGTTTCCAACACACACACACACACACACACACACACACACACACACACACACACACACACACACACACACTTCCAGTGTTCTATTCCACAAGAAGTGATCAGTCTCTGCTGTGCCTCCACAGATCTGGACAGAAACAAACAAAAAAACCCACCCTCACCTTGATGAGCAT